TGTCCTAACCCCTGTGCCCTGCCCATTATTATTATTATTTTATTCTTCCTGCATTCACTTAAAATACAGTCCCTTTATGGAAGTATCTTCTAATCTATTTTCATTTTGACTTTTCTTTGTCATTTTTCTTGACACTTTTCAGAGCACCAATTTTATTCTGCTTGAAAGGATTCGATGACATTGTACCTTATGCTCATTTAAACTCACCCTCATCCAATGTTAGGTCTTCCAAAGAGACAAAGGAGAGACAGCGGCCGGTGCTGAGTGGGGACCTGTTGTTTCTGTGGTCAGAATCAGTCCTCTGGTGCTTTTTTTGGTCTTGGTCCTGGTGAGGCTCTTGAAGTACAGCCCGATTGGTGTTCCCAGGACTGACCGGCTGTGGATGCCCGCTCTCCTAGCAGGTGCTGGTCCCAGTCTTGTCTCTGTGTTTGGCCGTGTGCACACTGTGTGCCACGGTGATTCCCTCATTTCTTCGTGGTTAGTTGGGAAAGGAAGTAACTGCTACAAACAGCCTAGTGCCTGGGGTCGCAGGCGCCTAAGCCCATGCGCTTGGGTTTGAATCTTACCTGTACGAGTGGTGGAATGGCGAGCCCAGGATAGCCCCGTTTTATACCCACGGCCCTTGTGTTCTGACCAGTTTGTGGCTTCTTTCACTCTCAAAAATACCCTGGGTTGGATGACAAACTAGATTATTGACATCTTCTGGGGAGACTTCCTTAGTCTCTTTAAACCCTAGCTTTTTTTATCTATAGAATGTGGAAAATATTTACTTAAAGGCTGTTTCTAAAGCATGAAGAGTAGCACTTTCTAATAAGCAGGAGCCGTATTCCTTCCCTCTTAGTTTTCACTTGGTGGGGTGTTGCCTAAGCTGTACAGTCCTGAACTTCACCAACAGGTGGAGCTGTGCCGACTCATGCAGTAAATGCCCTGCTCACAGTAGTCACCTTTGACCCCAGAAAAGTGCTAGGATAACTAAATTGTTTTGTTAGATTGTTAGAATGAGGCATTACTTCCACATGTCAAAATTTCTCTCCCTCCCTCTCTCTCTCTCTCCCTCCCTCTCTCTCTCTCTCTCCCTCCCTCCATATATATATGTGTATATATATATATATATGACAAACTAGATTATTGACATCATATATATATATATATATATATATATATGGGGTAGGTGGGGTGGGAGAGAGAGACTACTTTCTCTTTCTTGACTATCTATAGATATATCGGTGTGAATAAAAGCACGAGCTTATAAGGTTTTAATGTGAATGTTCCTGCCCCTTACATAAGGGCTCTTATGCTCTGTAAAACATGGGCAAGCATGTGCAATCTTCAAATAATCTCAAGAATAAGGACAGCGAGATAGCATCCATCTTTTATGGCTTTGTAAGCCCAACTCTCAGATGTTTTTAGAGTTAAAAGAATTGAAGAAATCAGAAGTTAAAATTACTCATACCTAAAGAAATACTAATTAGTTCTTGGATCTAATAGGATTGGGGGTTGAAAAGCACATTTTAGGAAAACCCCGTACATAATACAAGGCAGAAGACAAGGCAATGAATAATTAGGTAACAGGTACAGCAACATAAAACTTCATATGCATTTGAAGATTTTTAAACTTCTTATTAGGCCTTGGTAATTGGTGGGGAGCCTGAGCTGTAAGAAATGAAGCTCACTTAAATAAATATCTGTGGAGCTGAGAACACACATGCTTTGCTTTATAAACCCTGCTCTGCAGGCCTCGGGAGCTGAGGTACCATGTGGAATGCAGATTCACGCAGCACCTCAGAGAAGCGTGTCATTACTCTTCCCACCTTGAGAGTGGAATCTGTCAATCAACAAGCTTATTTTGCAGGTCCTGGAGGGGAGGCATGACATATTAAGTTTTACTCCCTCTTATTCTTGGTAACACTGGATCTCAAGTGCCCATTAAGCAGCATGTTCAATAACTCAGTCTGAATTATGATGAAGGAGCTCTCTGGGGGGGCTCCAGGCTGGCCCCAACCAGCCACTGCCATTAGTCCACAGAATGAGCCTCTGATCATAGCCCAACATAGTGACCCCCCCCCCAGACCACCTTCTGGGAAACACAAAACACCCACCCGCAGGGAGGATCAGAGGAAACTCCTTTGTTCTCTGGTTCTCATGCAGCGTCACCCGGGCTGTCTTAAGAAGCCAGTGGGCGACACCTCCTTTCTTCTTTCTGTAATGACATATGTGGCACTTCAGCCTGGGATTCAGATCTTAATTTTTCAGTTCTTTTTTCATGTCATGATAAAAAAGTTCTGGGGAATATATAGTGTCAGGTTCCTTTCAGATTCATCATTTCAATATTTTCATCTGCTGCGACTGTTTAATTAGGAGAAACTCCTTTTGGTAGGCTCCTTTTGTATAACTTTAATGAAACTGAAGAGCATGAAATGTGGTTTCCCTGCTTTTAAATGAAGCTACTTTTATAGAAATAAGATGAGAAATGGAGAAATTGTTGAAGTCACAGTGCATGAAATTAAGAGAGCCCAAACTGTATTGGCAATAGCGCATTTTTTCCCCCCTGCTTCTTCTTAAGTTGATGTTTTTGAAGGCCAAGGTTGTAGTTGCTAACAAACTGGGCTGATGCTGTTCTCTTTTTTTATTTATTTCTTGAAGTTCATAGGATTCTGACAGACATGCCTTTAAGGATTCAATTTGTTGTTGTTTAGGAAAATCGTATGAAGCAAACTACATGTGATAGAGGGCTATTTTCAAACAACAGGAAAGCGAATTAACGATGGCATCTAGTTATGAGGTAAAACCTGGAATTGTGCTGACTCTCACGTAGAGCACGATTCAATGCGTAGAATTGAAACAAAATAATTACAGAAAGTTTTCAAGTCACTTACGCTATAATCATAAGCCATATATTAAGAGGCTACGCCAAACCAGTAAGGTGTTGGTATGTGGGTATCTAGTCTTCATCAAATTTCCTATCATACTCTGCTATTTCTACAAATATGAAGAGAGGAGACAAAGCAGCAGCAATTTTCTCTTACATTTAATCAATGCAATAACCACTTAGGAAATTTAAGTAACAAATTCAGGAGGTCCACATTGCCTTGTTGTACAATTCAGAGTAACTCAATAATCAGCAAAATTATTTTGGTAGGTTTTGGAACTGCTTCTAAGTGCCAGTTAAAAATTATGAAGATATTGAGTGAGATTTTCCTGCTGATTTAGAGTAGGTGATTAGTGTTCTAAGCTGGAAACAAAGAGGCATTAAGTACCTTCACGTTTAGAGGAAGAACTTCCAAGAGCCAGTAGCACCCAGAAAACCCCATCAGGGATTTTTAGCTCAGGAGCCTGACTTGCCCTCCAGCCCCCTCACTCCCCACCCCTCTCTGCGTGAAGGAGAACCGGGGGCCACGATTCATAGGCTTGCTTTTCAGGCTGCCAGGGTCTCCTTTTCTCATGAGGAAGCTGGGCACTAGTTGGCTTTGACGCCCCCCATTTTGCTCTTGGGGAGTCAGGAAGTGATGGGGGCAGGTGTGGAGCCAGACATACCTTCCT